TTTGTTCGTAAATTATCAACCTCACATCTCAACCAATGTTCTATTTTTATCCTTTTCCAGATTTATATCAATCACGTCACTATCTCACATCATGTGAGGCAGCGTTGAAGTTCATTCGCACTAGGAACTAGCTTTTGAGACGTAAGGCAAATAAGTTCGCGACTACCACGCTAGAGTTAGTCTTTGGTCTTTCTAGAGAAATGTTTCCTGAAGGCATATCGGAACCCAAAAAATTTGGGAAGGAAGTAGGAATGTATAACAGATTTTGAATCGTTTATACACTTTAAGTCGATAAACTCAGGAAAGTGTTACTTGAGAATTTTCTCCTTTTTCTGTAGGGTCTGTAACCTCAGAACTCCCGCTAAGACTGTCGCGTTGCATGCCTTTCGCGCTTTTGCGCTGCCTTTGACGCGCTTTCCCAAATACATCCCACCATAGGTACCTTTTTTGTAAGGTCTGTACCCCCTTAGAGCTCCTTTGTACAATGCGTAGCAGCCAATTGACTACGGTGCTCGATACCTACGAAAACTTTTCCGGACAGGTCATATGTGATGTGTCAGGCAGCTTAAAAGGAAAATAAACCATGCTTTGTTGTCGGATACGTACTCTTACGTAATCTGATTTGTAAAAAGACCCGATTCCCTTCCTGTAGTCCACCATCCTTACTGAAATTAGAGTGGATGAGTCCGGATGGAAGGATCAGCGCGCCCTTGAGTGTATTGGCTCTATCCTCTATCATATTGTTAGAAGACAGCTAAAAGATTCATAGAAATGAAAAGTCATTGCTGCCCTTGAACTCTAGTTTGTTCAAATTCAATTCAAAAGTCTGGTTCCACAAGAAGTCAAAGGCTGGTGGTGTTTTAGCTGCGCCTGAAACAAGTAAAAATTCCATCGCAGTAAAATTTGAATGAAAAAAATAAATGTTCACATATGATTAGAAAGTTTATCAATGTATTAGTATTGACATATTATGATACCAACTTTTATAGGATCTTGTCAAAACTCATCTTATGTTCGCTGTTCGAGAGGAAGTGGACGCCTTGAGGACAAAAATTACGGACCTAGAGTCATACGTAAGTCAATCA